TGCGCTGGGGCGGAGGCCTTGACCCCGTCTGTCTTGCGGCAGGTGCTGGTGTATGACCTGCTCTTTGGCAAGGGTCTGAAGTGCGGGGGCCGCTGGAAAGTGCTGGTGCTGAAGCACCGGGCCCGACTGCAGGCAGAGCTTGCCCGTCTCAAGGTGCACAGGAAGGTGAACTGCAACGAGGACCTGCTGGCACCCACCGAAGCGGGGAATCAAGGTGAGAGTGGGGGCTCTTCCCAGCAGGCAGGACTCTATATGACCTGCTCTTTGGCAAGGGTCTGAAGTGCGGGGGCCGCTGGAAAGTGCTGGTGCTGAAGCACCGGGCCCGACTGCAGGCAGAGCTTGCCCGTCTCAAGGTGCACAGGAAGGTGAACTGCAACGAGGACCTGCTGGCACCCACCGAAGCGGGGAATCAAGGTGAGAGTGGGGGCTCTTCCCAGCAGGCAGGACTCTAGACTGGGACTCCCCTTGGGGAAAGAGACCCAGAAGGATTCTTATGCCCGTCTCTGGGTAAGATGACTGCTTCTGCAGTGCTAGAGTGTTCTCTGTATGCCTGCCATCATTTCCCTAGGGATGGGGTCGCGTATGGCCAGTGATTTCCAAATTCATTCGTCTAGGCCTGTTTGAATTGGGCACATGATTAACCTGTGAGGTGGCAAATGGACCTGCAGACAGGGCTGAGCATGACCTGGTCTGTCTTGTCTGTGTCTATGTGGAACCAGCTGGAGTATTCTAGCGTCTCGGGTGATTTGGGAAAGGGGGGACGCACATCTCTCTGCCTGTGTTGCTTCCCCAGCCCCTCAAGTGCCACGCTACGTCCGAGTGAACACCCTTAAAACCTGCCTGGATGATGTGGTTGACTATTTCAAACGCCAGGGCTACTCCTACCAAGGCAGGGCAGCCAGGTAAAGCCAATTTCTGCCTGTCCCTGTGTACTGTGCTCTGGTCTTCACTGGCCTGCCAAGCTGATACCCAGTCCCAGATGGGGGAGAGAGGAGGCCTTGCAATTACCTGAGTTACCTTCCAAACAATCAAAGGTTGGCACCTCAGGCAGCCAGAAGTTGGTGGTTCTCAGGTTAAATTATTTGCTGGCTTCACGCTTAATCTGAAAGACAAATCTCTATGAACACACGCATGTCCAAACCATTGTCGTTTGTTGCTAGTTAATGAGTCTATTGTAAAAAATGATACGAATGTCAAAGCAGACATTCAGCTGCAGCAAGCCTGGGGACAAATTAAGCCCTGACTGGGGTATTGGGGAAGGTGGAGGAGCCATGGGAGTGGGTGAGTGGCTGGGCAAGAGAGGCAGAGGGGATCAGATTCTGAAGCCCCATGGCCAGTGGATGGGGGTGGAGCCACCTTTGTGGGGATGGAAGCTGCTGCCCAGCCACCCCAGGGTTGAAGTGCAAAGCCTGAGCCCTGCCACACCTGGGAAGGTGGGGAACTTGCCAGCTGCCTGTTCCTCCAGCGTTGTGCCCCAGGTATCTCCAAAAGGAGGCAGGACCCAACCCCTGCTGGCAGTGACAGCAGCCAACACCCAGGCAATGCATTCGGAAGCCAGGAGAGGGGGAAATCACTTGGCCTCTGGAGGACTTATGAGCTTTGGGGAAGCAGGATCTGTACTCCACTGAATCAGCTTCTTCCTCCCTACCCCCTGCTGCCTCTGAGCAGATTGGAGGAGCTGAGCTCCCTCTCAGGAAAGCAATTCCTCCTGGATCCCCACCTGCCCGATCTGCTTGTCTTCCCGTCACAGACAGACTTCCATAAGGACCGACTGTACGTCGCAGGGCACATCATCCTGCAGGACAAGGTGGGGGGCACTGGGGCAAGAGGAGCCATTCTGGCGGGGGTGGAAAACTCAGGCTGAAGAAGTGCCAGGGGGTGACTGCTGGGGAATGGAGGGAGGTGTATGGTGGGTGTGACAAGGTGATGAGGGAAGGGTGTTTTTAGGTCACAGCCTCAGGTATTTTGTAGCAAACTCGAGACTTTCTGATCCAGCCGAAGAGAGATCTAGGAAGTGGGAAATAGGTGCCTGAAGGATCATGCTGTCCCTGTACCGCTTGATCTGCTGCAGATGTTTGCACTGACAGCTCCTAAGTGCGCTGTAGAAAGTGCCTGAGGCAAGCTGGGGTGCTGACTCTCGCTGGATCTTTGTGCTAAAGAGCAGTAAAACCGTTGAGTGTGTCACCCCTGAAGCCTAATAAGGCCAGTTCAGTGTCAACACCCCCAGAAGGAAAATGGGATCAATGTTACCTCTCTCAGCTGCTGTCTCAGGCTCTCTGCAGACTCAGGCAGATGCCACTGCGCTGGTTACTGTGTGCATGCAGCAGGCAAGCACCACCCTGAGCTGCGGGCGGGTTGGAAGAGGGAAGATGGGGGGGAAATACTGCTGGTGCAGAGCTGACTGGTGGTGTCTCTTCTAGGCCAGTTGCCTTCCTGCCTTTCTTCTGAGCCCCCCCTCAGGGTCCCATGTAATTGATGCCTGCGCTGCCCCTGGAAACAAGACCAGCCACGTGGCCGCCATCCTGAAGAACAAGGGGTGAGTGTGATCTGGGGGACCTGGCAGAAGGAAGTGGACGGGGTAGCTGTGGAGCCCAGGGCAGAGTCCAAGAGGCCGTCCTGGCGCTGTTACGAGAAGCAGTTTTCTCAGTGCCAGGCACAAAGCCCTGACCTAGCAGCTGTTCTGAGGCGAACAGGTCTCTTTGGAAGAAGGGGCAGCGCAGAGTCCGGTGTGTCCTGCAGCAAGCCTGGTGTTGATTGCAGCTTGGCCAGAGAGAATCGGGCTGAGAACACCAGGGCGTGGGGTTGAAGGCAGGACTGCATGAAGGGAAAGGGGCAGGCACTTGGGGAGTGAGTAGTTTAGCTCTTGCATGTAGGAGTTGGGAGCTTGACTTACTAGCTCTATCCCTGTCTGAAAGCAGTCTGGCCCTGGGCTGTGTCTGGGGACTGGTGACAGAGCACCAGCTGGAGAGTGAGGCCGGGGCGGAAGGGAGAGGGGTGCTTAAAATCTCCCAGAGACTCACATCTGGCAGCCAGGAACAGAGAGTCCTAGACAGCCCCCGAGATGAGTGTTTTGTGCCATGAGGGGCAGCTGTGCCCAAGGCCCCTGCAGTGCAGGGAAACTCGGATCTCCCCTGATATGACCTGTGCCCACCGGCTGAAGAGGAGGGCGAATCCCCCGCTCCCTGCATGCTGCTGGCTCCCTGCAGCGGTGGGTGAATTGGCTCAGGGATGTGCTTGGTCACACTGCTTTGCCGATGGAGGATTTGTGTTCGCCTGGGGTGGGGGGGCGGGGTCTGGCAGCTACGGCAGGTAACGGTTCCTGTATTGCTCTCTGGGGTGTTACCTTCAGGCAGATCTTCGCCTTTGACCTGGACCCCAAGCGCTTGGCCACTATGAGTACCATGCTGGTGCGGGCTGGGGCTACCTGCTGTGAACTGGCCAATCAAGACTTCCTGGCAGTTGATCCCAGGGATCCCAAGTACAGCAAGGTGACCTACATCCTCCTGGACCCCTCATGCAGCGGCTCAGGTGAGGGGGAGGGAGCCAGGTCTGTGCAGTACAACCGGGGGGGGGGGGGTTTACGTCCACTGGGCGTGCCTGTCTGAGCCACGCTGAAACCCTGCTTCCCTCCGGCCTAGGGGAAGGATCCTGGGGCCCTGCCCCCACCCCGGGAGCCACTGAGCTCAGTGGGGGTTGCTGGAGAAGACATTGGGGGGGGCCCAGCATGATCCATGCCTTTGACCCTTTCCCCAGGAATGGTGAACCGGCTGCCAGGCGAGGAGACGGCACCCAGCTCGGAGCGGCTGCGGGCACTGGCTGCCTTCCAGCGCAAGGCCCTGGGCCATGCTCTACGCTTCCCTGCTCTCCAGCGCCTGGCTTACTCCACGTGCTCCGTGCAGCAGGAGGAGAATGAGGATGTGGTCCGGGACGTGCTCCAGGAGCATGGCTCAGCATTCAGGTACCAACTCCTGGGCTGGGAATGGAGGGGGCTGGACTGTCACTGCCCACTGGGCAGGGGCTGAGCAGGCCACAGCGCCTGCTCCCTGTGTCCTGTTGGTAGGAGGAAGGGGACTGGGGCAGCTGTGAAGCCCAGGGCAGAGTCCAAAAGGCCATTCTGGTGCTTGGGCCTCTGTGTAGGAGCCTGGCTGGGTCACTGAGCTTCGTTGTGATCTTGTCCTTGCTTGCAGGCTGGTAAATGTGCTGCCTTCCTGGCCCCACAGGGGCCTGGCCACCTTCCCAGCTGCCCAGTGCTGCCTCCGAGCCTGCCCCGCAGCCACACTGACCAGCGGCTTCTTCCTCG